GTTTAAATAATGAAGTAATTAAAAAGATTATATAAGTCTTTTCATAGGTATCAGTATTAGGGTACTAGAAAAGTTCTATTAGGTAGTTTAGTGTTGCTGGATTCAAAAAGTCTGCTTTTTTAAAGAGTGTTTTCAGGCTTTTAAATACTTTAGTCCTGCAAATGTCTTAAGAGAGATCGTTTCAGCATTTTAGTGTCGTAAATACGCATCTTTATGTAGCCAATGGCAGGTTAGGTAGCTAATTGGGAGATGGACATCCAACCACTTTTATGGGTCTGGCTATTAGCACACTTAGTATTACAGGCCCATAACTTGAAGAATAAAGTATCTAACAGTGATTTCCCCCCACAGTATCCTAGAAGTACACATTGCCTTTTCTTATTACCCTTTGCTTTTTGCTCTTTGGCCAATTTCTGGGCCATATCACTTGTTCTGTAAAAGCAAGCCTTAATTATATTTATTCAAATTATGAAATAATAACTAATACTTAGAATTCATTTCCATTCTTTCATCTAACAACTGCTTTTAGATACTACAAATCGGTTTATTTGCTGTTGTTATACATTCAGATAGCAGCTGTTTATTACATCTTAATAGCACTCCAGTTTACATTTTATTTACACATATCAAGGAATCATAATCTTCACTTCTGTGATATTGTAAACCTTGCAATATTTTAACTATAAGGCTTAATTTGACCAATATGTGTACAAGTTATAAAGTATTATTTCTTATCTAACATTTTTCACTTGTAAACCTATTCTGATTTTAAGGCATCTCATACATTATTCTTAACTTCTGAACTGCTAATGAACTTTTAGTAGTTTTACTTAACTTGGAAACAGTTAACTGGGGGTTTTTTCCAGGCACTAAGACAGAAATTATTGTCTTTATCAAGAGCTCCTGGAGCATTGTTTTCAACCTTTTGGTCCAGCAGAGAACTTTTTTCTCATTTAGAAATACCCAAACTTTTATTTGGCCAGAGCAAGGGTGTTTCGTAAAATGCTGTGTTTTCTTGCCACAAAAACTCTAGGAAGCCCTGTTACGAAAGAAATGCTGTCAAGTGGCTTTCCTCCTGCCTTTATCACTGATGTTCAATAACCATTCAAAACTTACAGGGTCAGGTAAGAGCTTTCTTAATAGAGCAGTGACGTTATTTCTGGTTAGCCTCCGATATGTTATATTTGCTGAGAGTTCCAATGCATTTTTCATTTGTGTTTTTTTTTTTTGTTTGTTTGGTTTGGTTTGGTTTTGTGATTCTATCATCTTTTACAGAAGGGATTTTTTTAATTTTATTTTTTTTAAGTTTAGTATAACCAACTAAGTCTGCCATTGGATCCACTGAGCAGTTATTCAGAAGTGTTTGCTATTGTGTTTTGCTTTAGGAAAATATCCAAAATAATTGGATTGAGAATGCAGCATGCAAAGTATTTTTCCAATAGCAATATTTGGAAAATCTATATGTGAATGGTGCTGTATGCTCATTGTTGCATATATGTGCGTGTTCTAAGCTACAACAGCTTAAGTGAATACTTGACACAACAAAATATGTACTTGAAGACAGAAGAAGAATGAGCAGCTCTGAGTGCTTGGCATATATTTAGAGCTTCAAAATTACACCTTTACTTGCTTGATAATTAAGCTTGTTATTTCTTTTTCTTTAGCTCAGTCTTTTAAGTATTGATCCTGCAAAGACTTGTGTGTGCAATTAACATTCAACGGAAGTGTTCAGGCAGCTAAAATTAGGCAGGTTCTTCAGTCCTTGCAGGATTGGGATCTCAGATTCCTTAATGTTTATATTCTTAAGAAATATTTAAATTTATTTTGCTGTAATGCAAAATATTTATTTCTGAACATCCTGGAATTGTTTTTGTTAGCTTTTCTTAATGGGATATTTGAGGTGGACATTGGGAAAATGTAACTTTTGTTGGAGGAGTTAAGGAAAGGAAAACTATTGTAATGAGTGAGGGGAGATGAATAGCAAACTCTAATATAAAATTTCATTAGCTTTGCCAACAATGGAAACACCACTATTCCATTCCCCAACTTTGCTGCTATGTCACTCTTCAGTAAAAAATAAAAAAAGGCTATATGCTATGAGTGTTCCAAAGGGAATATATGAAGCAATGTCTTGATTGCACTAATTCTTAGTGCTGTAACTGGTAAAGTGGTATGAACTATCTTGCAACACCCTGAACACCGTCAGTGTTTGGGTGTTAAGAACCTGATTTATTTTACATTAGCTCTTAAGTAGACACGTTCATTTGCACATGTTAGTTATAGCATTGACAAGTATTGTAAGCTGTCTCTTTAGAATTAGTATTGTCAAGAGGAAGCTTTTTTATAATCTCTTCTTTATAAATTAGCAATATTGAGGAGCTGACCCAAAACCTGAGGCTTGTCTTCATGCTTACCTGTCTTCATTGCTTGTTTAGAATTATGTGCATTTCTCTGATTATGTGTGTGTGTATATCATCCACTATGTATGTTCATATTTGTTTATGCAGTAAATTTGTGACTTCCTAGGAATCAAAACTCTCAATTAGGTCTTTGTTTCTGTGGGTCAAAGATATACCTGCCTGGTTCTTGATTTTTTTGTTTTGTTTTTTTTTTTTATTTTATATCATACAGTTGCCTTTAGAGAATGAAACTCCACAGAAGCTAGAAATGTGACGGATAAAAAATTAGAGGAGTGATATCTGTGTTGCATAAGATGTTCTGAAGTCAAATATGCTAACAAAGTCAGAAATAGTCTCTAGGAAGTTTGCGTTTATAACTACTACTGTAAATCATCTTTTTTACTGCAAAGAAAAATGCAAGCTATCTTGTGTAAATATTTTACTTTGTTTAAATCACTTCTGCTACCTGAACATAATCTGCTATTATTTATTAAGCCTTGCAAGATTAAAATATTAAAATATCTAATTCGTTTTTGTTTTCACGTTGTAGGTTTTGACTTTTGCCTATAAGCATGCGTTGGTAAATAAAACGTATGGGAGAGGTCTCAAGTTTGCCACAAAACTTGCAGAAGAGAAGCCAACGAAGGACAACCTGAAAAACTGCATTCAGGTAAGGTATATTTGGTAAAGTAATGGGCTATGTTTATGCTGAGTAAGCTTTTAAAAGATGTAAGTCTTTTTCAATTTTTGATACCTTTTACATTGTAGAAGTCACTAAACTTAACATTTTAACTTTATGCAGGCTTTTGTGGCTTGGCCTCCATTTTTAATAGTGATTTCTTCTTTCTTTTTCTGGAGTAGCTAGTTTGAGTAACCGTCATTTTCAGCAGGTTTACTTTCTGGAATTTACTGTGGGGCATAAAGAAAGTAGAGACAACTTAGCCAAAGATCTTCTGCATATTTAAAATCTGATTATGTTGCTGTTTAACCACTGTCATTGTTACTATTATTAATCAAATATTGCGAGTAGAATACAGGTGGAGAATTAATGGAAATTACTGTAACTCCTAAGACAAAATTTTTGTGCATGGAATTGAAAGACTGTAGATCATGTAGAATGGTTTTCTTTTTTCCCCTTTCAGGATTAAGTAATTCAAAGATAGCCAGTTCTCCAGTATATTATCTTTCTGGTCATAGACATCTTTAGTAAGATGTTGATATCAATGCAGCGTTTGTTGGAAGGATTTAGATCTTTAAAAGAGTAAGACCCTAGAGCTTCTCATTGTGGTTTTTTTTAATGTTTGCTTTTTTCCTTCAGCTAATGAAGTTGCTTGGATGGACTCATTGTGCAACTTTCACTGAAAATTGGCTTCCCGTCATGTATCCACCTGATTATTGTGTATTCTAGAAAATCAACAATTGTAAACTTAAAGTGATTTTATATGGGGCAGGATATGAAAAGATAAGTTTGACTTTTTATTGGAACGCATGTTTTCATTACTGAATGCTGATTATTAAACTGTGTGTATTTATCAGTAAAGGCACCTGGGTACAGCTTAATACCTGTTAACCTAACTCCTGTCATCAGGGAGTTTCCTTATTGTGCATCCCATTGCTGGCAATGGATGTGCCAGAACTGCCAACACAAGGATTTGGAATTAGGCTGGAAAGGCTTACTTGCATGCATATTAGGTTCTTAACTGTTACTTTTAACTGCAAACCTGTAAAATCTCTGTATTTTTTACAGTAAACTGAATTTTAACATGTTTGATCTTAATTTCAATTGTATGAAGGCCTTAAAGCTACTTCAAGAGTAGCTAAAAACTTATTTATTAGACTGAAGTAACGGGACATCATTACCTGTATTGTTTGCAAGAGTTTACATTTCATTTTTTAAGAAAAATTCAACCTCTTGAACTGTTACAATGTGTAACTCAGAATTGCTGATGCATAGGTGCTCTTGTAAATCTTCATTTTGGAGTGATTTCAGGCAAACTCAAAAATCCATGTGAAGTTGAGTATCAGGACAGGCTGATAGATGTATAAAAGTGCCAGACAGTTAAATCTTGATCAGGTATTGTAAAGCTATACATATATGTTTAATAATGTTAAAAATGTAAAACACAGCAGAATAAATGTGCAAAGTTGAAGATCAAAAAACCACCATGTGCACTCTGATACTTTAAAAGATTATTTTATAATTAATAAAAACAAATAATGAAGCTGAAAATTGTATTGGTTTCTGAAAGAGTATATAAATGAAACTTGCTGAAAGAAAACACCTTACAAACAACAGAAGTTCAGTGCAGCCCAGAAGGTCAATGCTTTTTGTTAAAGCTTTTTTACTGACTGTTGCTACTAACATTGTTCCTTCAGTGGAGTGAAATTGGTCTGTTTGAGCAGGTCATATATATCAACCAGAAACAAATTGCTATATCATTTGTCTTGTCAGTTTTTTCATAACTTGTAATGCAAAACTGAGATACCACTGCAACTTTACAAATATGTATGCACAGAAGGTGCATTGTAATGCTGCAAAACATTCCAAACTGTAAGGTGCTGCTGTTAAATAAAAATTAGTAATAGTTTTAATTTTAATCTTTAATTCTCTCTTACTGTGGCTTTAAGCAGCTTGACATTTGATTCTGGAAATTCTGCTAGAATGGTTGTGTTAAATATATTGCAAAGTTTTTCCAAAAATTCATAGTCTGCAGTGAATCTGAATTTATTTGCCCATAGTAATACTGTTCCTGGCTTACAAAAATACACCATTGTTGCTAGCAGGGGGTCCAGAGCTGCATGATGGTATACAACATCAGTTGCCAGTATGAAATCATAGCTGTAAGTTGATACAGGGAAGTCTTCGTTGAGGCCTTCTCCCCATACCAGTTTTCTCACTTCAGGTTTGTGCATATTCATGTTCTGTGTATTTCTTGAAATATTATATGAGAGATTTTCAAGAACTTCAGGCAAATCAGTAGCTGTAACATAAGCTCCTAAAGAAAACATGAATTTGTTTCAATTCATAGGAATGTAGTTGAACATTTTATATATATGAAACTTTATCTACATAACTTCCCCAGCTTCCCCCTCGCCGATAACTAGGGTAGTTACTTTATTAACAAAACAGTATTTTACAATAATTTTCATTTTTTAAAAGAGCCGTGACAAACAAAGTTTACTTCAGCTGTTGCTTCATTGCCTTAAAGTGACAGTGGCAGATCTAGATCATCTTTCGCAAGAAATCCAAAAGGAAATAGGAATTTAGAATTTACTAACCTAAGATACAGGCCACAATGGAAACCAAGCCTGTTCCAGCGCCAATTTCCAAAACTTTTTTGTCTTTGAGGTTGAATTGTTCTTGATTTGATTCCAGATACTGAGATAAAGCCAGTGCCTAAAACAGTTAACACATACACATAAGAGGGTAACAGGTAAGTTGCACAAAAATTCATTAGATGTTTTTATACTCAGCTTTTTTTTATACAGTGAAGAACACTGAAGGCTGTAACATAAAAATGTAATACGGAAAGAATTATCATTTGTCCTGTTTTTTATACATATATATATATAAAAAAAATTTAAACAGCTTATTTTTAGTTTTAGGTTTATGGGATATGGATTTGCTACACACTTCTATACACTGTGCATCCTCTGACAGCTCAAGATAGGCAGTGTTTAGATGTGAACCATACGGTCAAAACAGCAAACGAGGTTTAACAATGTGTAAAAAGTAATGTTATGGTTTATTATCATAAATTTTATGGTTTCTTATCACTCATAAAGTATCATAAAATCAGGTTTCAGCAGAGATTTTTTTTTTAAAAACTTTTTTTGTTTTAAATTTTTTTTCCAAAGGTAATATTAAAAATTTGTTATCTACCAACTCAACACTTGTCTATTGATAATAGTCTAAACCTTAAAAAAAGAAACAAATGACCAAGTAACTGCACTGTATGGAAATATTGCTTTGTAAAGATCTTATCAACAGAACGTAAATCGGCTGTTTATAAACAACATTAACCAATGCCAAAGAAACTACTTTTGCTTCTCTTCCTTAGAGTCGTGTTACTGTTTTAACTCTTGTGCTTTTCTTAATGCATCACTGGCTACCTGCTCTGGGAAAGCTGACAGCTAATGAATCACCAGTCCAATTTGTGCAACCTCTTGATTTTCTTGGAAAGTTTTACCATCTGCATTCTGACACCTGATTAATGTATGAACTGATGATCTGACATTTCAAAATAAGATACTGTTTCACCCACCCATATGCTTTCTTTCTCTCTATTGTTTTGAAATTGTCTACCATTTTCTGTGAGCTTTTTCAATAAATGTGGATCTGAAAAATTTTGAAATCCCTAATTTTCATGTCTTTATCAGTTGACCCTCTCTTCCCTCAAAGGTGATTTTCTCAGTCCACATAAAATTCTGTTTTTAAGAACAGGAGAAGCAAAGACTGAAAAACTGTTTGCAAGTATGGTTTTCCATACTGCAATGGAACTGTTCCAGCCTGTTATTTAAAAGAAGCATATTTAATTGTTTTAAACTCCTTTATTTAATCTCTCACAACTTTATTCTTCAGTCTCATTTTTGAACTGCTGATTGTTTGCTTCACAAAGTGACTTGATTGGAAACATGGAGGAAGCTGAACACTTCTTCCTGAGTTCCCTTTCTTAATTTTTTTCCAAATATCTGCATCCGATTTACAAATACTTAGGTGCCACAGTTCTTTCAGCGTGCACTGGAAAATTAGCATAAGGCAGAGCTTTCTGCTGAAGTACTTCACAACTGTGTTCTGCACAGGGAAACCTCTGCTCTCAGAAATGTGATTTAAGAAAGCTTCTTTTATATTTGTGCACCACTGTCATGGGTTACTCTTCTGTCATGTCAGCTTTCTGGCTGCCATTATCACATACTTACCCCCGGCCATACCACAGCTCCAAAGTGTTCTATGGACTCCTGAATGACAATCTGGTGGCCAACATATAGGTAGTGCTCTTTATCAAAGTAGTGGGAAACTCTAGGAACCCAGTTCTGCAGTATTTTAAGAGTTACTGGGGAATCTGTGAGAGAGAAGACACAATTTGTATTTTCATAGGCAGGTGTTCATATGCAACTTGTTAAAAAGTATTTTGTGAAGATAGCACATAGGCAGATGGACTAGAAAAGCTGTCAGGCCATTGGCCTCGAGACTGGTTGCTGTCCAGATACGGATGGTCTGTCTGGCCAGGAAGTGAAAGGAGCAATGGTCATTTCTTGCCATCTTTTGCGTCTGCCTGGGCAATTTACAGTAGAAAATTTTGGAAAAGTCTACTGATTCAAATATATAGCTCTGCTTAATAACAGCTGGAAGACTTTCAGGACCAAGTCATCTTATATTTTGGGGTATGCTGTAGTTCTTGCTATGCCAGAGTATGCCATGTAGGGGTGTGTGCTGTAGTTTTCATTTGTGGGGCCAACAGATATAGAACATTAAGCTGCTTTTTACAAAAGAAGGATTTAGGATTTACTTCTTACACTGAAGAAAACCTGGCACTTTTTAGTGGGGTTTTTTAACCATTCTTCCACAAAAGGAGGTTTGTAAGATGCTCTCCGTGTTGACATACACGGTGCGAGCGTCAGTACTAAATTGTGCTAGCATGTCTCATCATAGTAAGTAAGCTTGTAGGTGAGATTTTTCAGGAGAGCTCTGCTGAACTGCTCCATCTGATTTCACTGAAAACAAGGACACTGTTCTGAACGATGGTACTGTTGTTGGAAGCCTGTTAGCAGGATATGCATAGATGATAGAAAATTATCTTTAACTGCAAAGAAAAATTTTGCTCTGGCTTGCATGGATTTTAGTTGATACCTATCTGGAGTCGTCGGTATGTGTTTGAGCAGTTTAGCCTGTTGAAATTTGTAATACCACAGCTTCAACAGTGCCAGACCAATTAATGCATATTATAATCATGATTCTGATTGTAATTGAGAAATAATTCTAAGATGTCTAAATGAAATTCAGACACCTTTTTAAACATCTTAATTATGGAGATAGTCCTTTTTGTAGATTTGGTCTGATAATAAATACAAACATAAGGGGAAATGGTGGGGAAAAAAAAGAGATCACAAGGAATTGACACGGTGACATCTACTACTTGACGACTGAGAAAAGTGAAAGTATGAAATGCTAACATGCCATGGCAATTGCAATATTTAAATTGGATTAAACCTGAGTGGGATTCTGCTGTGGATGATGCACGCTTGGAGCTGCAAGTGCAGTTTTCAGCTTCATACTGCTCTTCACAGGTTTCTTCCTCCTCAGTTTGGCAGTCCATTACTCTTCGAATTTTGTTAGGGACCGGTTGCTGCTGTGCGGAGATCGTGGCAAAAGAGCTGAAACGGAAGGGAGACAGCAATGTCGTAATAGCTCAGGGGCACTCTCTTTGACATATGAGTGGAAGAAGACAGTGAGTAGTTTGGATGGACTTTGGTTTTGGGTTTTTTTCAATGACAGGTTGAAGAGACAGGAAGCCACAATGGAGACGTGACATCCCAATCCACTGGAAGTTGCTGTGAGCACTTTATGGTAATGCAGTAAATACTATCAGAATTTTTATTTTATCATTTATGCAAAATTTTAGCATTATGTCACTAAATGGATGCCACTAATCAGTATGAAAAGTAAGCTACTTGCATGATACTCCTATCAGTTGAAGCAACAGCTGAGAAAGGTGAACTGTCTTTTAATCTCTGTGACTTTTTATCTGTGTAATTTACCGTTTCCCAAAGAACTCGGGACTTGTCATTCCTGTGATAAAACTGGTTAATTTGCTGCAGTGCTCTTTATTTTGCTACACTGCTGCCAGTGCTCTTTATTTTGCCTCCTTGTACGCTGTTGCCTTCTTTTCTGTGCCTTTTTCTGCAGAACGGATAAAATGTAGTGAACGGCAGAGTATGCGGATTGCGGTCAGGAAATAATGGCAGTGAGAAGTTTGGATCAGTAAGCTTTTTTGGAGAACTGTGTGTGTGCTATGAATTACTGCATCTCCAGTGTACAGGGCAGCACCTGATGTAAGAAGAAACTGCTAGATTCCAGCTAACAAGCGGTAAAAGCAGGAGTAGGACTGAATCTATGTTTGCCTGAGGAGAAACATGGCAGTGAAACTTTTTAGTTAACTAGAGTTTTCTTCAGTGATAGCACCTATGTATGTATGTGTGTGTGTGTGTATTTTATATACCCACACATATATATGTATAAAGAGGAGGAAAAAAAATGGTTCATAACTTGCTCTGGCCAGGGGCTGTAGAAGTTCACCCTTTCCACATTACCATGATGGCTGGACCGTGCTACATTTTTATCCATGACTGGGCTTATTTTGTTCCTTTTTGAGAATGCATACGAGTTTGGTCTCTCCAGCCACATGCACTTGCAAACAAAGTGTTGTATCATTTGGGTTGCATCGTGCTGCAGGCGTGATAGACAGATATCCTGGCCAGAAGGGGAGCGGTTTGGCAGCGGCCGGGAGGCTCAGCAATGTCTGCAGGTAGTTTTTTAGGGAGCAGAGTGACTGCTGACTTGTGCGGGTGGTTTATTTGCACACATGATACTGACACCATTGCAGTTTTACTGATACCTGATATATTCCTTACTGCTGCTCTGTTTATTCACAAGGACAGGATTTGTGTTCTACCTCCTGTAGCACTGCGTTTGTTCAGTCATGGCAGTGATTTTGTACCGTTTCAGAAAAGAGAGCTCTTTAAAGCAAATTGATTTCTACAGATTTTAAAAAATTTTTTTGTATTATTTTATTTCGTTTTCCTCAGAGGGCCTCCATCTAGCTAGTAACAAGTTCTGGCTATGCATCTTTTTTGTATAATTTGAGATACAATGATGGTAGGTAAGAGACTGAAGCTAATGCTGCAGTTACAGCATTCCCTGAGCGAATGCATCCATGTTCACATTTCACACATGAATGGTTTCTGTGCAATCTCATGTAATCAAAAGTATACTTCCAGTTTTCAGCAATGCCTCTTTTTCATATCTTGAGCCAGAATAAAATCTGGTCATGATTTAATGTTTTAGGAGATCTCTGGGAAAATATATTAGGACTTGTAATTGGCATGGTGTGTAATGAAGAGTGTTAGAACTGTTGATGGCTACAGCCAGAAAACACTTACTTGAAGACCCAATCTTCTGAACATTTCATGCTTAAACATACAAGGCACTACATTTTCAAAGTCTGAGGTTTTTGGATGGTTTTTTTGTTTGGTTGGACTTTTTTTCATTTAGTAAGGCTCTTGTAGTATGAAATGTGCACTATTTAAGTGAAAAGCCAATCCTGAAATTACAAAGCAGAAGGGAACTTTGCATTGTCCAGCACCCTTATATGTAAAAGCCGGAAAAACTTGTTTAATGAATAAACTGTTTACCTTGTCAGTTTGGGTAGAAAGTGGTCCTTCTGTATTTTTTAATTTGCTTAGATCGGTTCTTACTGTAACAGGTCAAAATTTAAGTTGACTATGCATAGCAGCGCGTACCACAAAATAGCTTGGAAACAAGCTTAGTAAACATGTATTTGTTGTTCCACTGTTATGTACTTGCAGTAAATACAGTTGCATCTCTGATCATGAGATAGAGATATATATATAGACCCTATTATCACTCATTCAGTACAGACTGAATTCTAAATTAAATTTTCAAAATAAAAATTGGTATGCTTTCATGTGCTTTGTCCTTTGAGCTCTTCTAAAAGAGAAGTCTGCTTAAATATTTACAAAGGTGCTTTATTGTTTTTATTAAATCCCTTCTTAAAAAGATCAGGAGGTCTAGAAGAAGATCCCTAGAGGTTACACTGGTACTGTGGTGAGACTGGTGTGGTCTGTAAGTCCATCAGTTGCCTGAGTTCTTAGGTGGTAAACTGGGGGAATAAAGATTATGCACTTTGTATTTGTATGTCACCTAACACACTGGGCTCTGATTTATGCTTGGGGCTTCTAGATGCTATAATAATATCTTCTCATAGGTGTAGTTTTTTCAAAATACAAAGGTGGTGTTGGGTTTGAGGGGGTGAGTATTTTGGGGTTTTGTTTGTTTATATTTTTTTTATACAGTCTACTGCCATAACTTAATTATATATCTCATAAATGACGTAAAAAGTAAGGCTTTTCTTCACTGCAAACTACAGGACAGAGTTAGTCTTGTAATTGCAAGAATTCAAGTATATTAGCATCTTGGTCTTAATGATGTAGAGCCTTATTTTATCACTTGAAATGACAAACTGTACCTGAAGATGACAGACACAAGTGAGTATTGAGTAAGCTATTTGCAAATAGGTGGTGTTTGCATTATTACAGACCCTATGTGTAATATGGTCAAGTTGCTGCTGTACTTCTAGAATTTAAATACTGATGTTTCTTACTATTTGGACATTTTTCTGATCCATATTTCACTGAAAAAGATACACCTCTAAAAGCTTTTTGATTTAGTATAATAATATTGCAACCAAAATCTGTTCCCGTAGAAAATGTTGTCTCTTTCTGAGTGTTAGCAGCTGATTTCTTTGCAAAATGATCCTGAAGGGAAATCATTATTAAATTCTCTGCTTGCCTAAGTTTTTAAACCTGTATTGACTTCACTGATAGTGTTAAATTATTTTGAACAAAACAGCTTACAAAATCACATTTGATTTCCTCAGAACCTAAGGAAGAAAGAATAGTTCACAAAATTATATCGACCTGACAATGCCATATAAAATTAACAAGGTAATTAAATGATGTAGGGTACATTATAAGATGATAAACCTTAAGGTAACAGGTTATGCCCTGTAAGATCAAACTTTGTACCTCTTGATTTCCAAAATCCATTGCTTGGAAAGCGCTTTTCAAATCTAGCTACGTGCCCCGTCCCCCTCCCTCCCCCAAAAAGTAGGTTAGCGAGCAGTACTGTGTCACTGGGTCTTCAGCACTAAACACAACTCTGCTGAAATGTGACTGTCACCTCCACACAAAGTTACACAGCATAGTCTGTTTTAGTCTGAATTATTTGGGCAAAAGGCCATCTGCTCACATTGGAAATGCAACTGCAGCGTGCTCGCTGCGAGGTAGGACTTGGCCATAGGCTCATACCCTACACAAACATCTGTGCTTCTTAGAGCTGGTGCGATTGTCTCATGTCCTCACGCACTAAATTAAAAAAAAAAGTATTATAAAAAGGTGACTATAAATGCTAGGAAATAAAGGAAACGTCAGTGCTAGGAACATCGCTACAGTAAACCCCTACGATATTTGAGTCCACAAGGTAAATGCACCCGCATAGCGAAAAGCAGCAGTGACGGTCCCTCCTCGCGCAGCAGCGGGGTTAGGGAAGCTGGATTTCGTCGGCTAACGCAGCTGACCCGCGGTACCGGAGTTGGGACGGAGGCATTTCCTTTGTTAGTTAGCGGGGCGCGCGGCAGCGCCTCGGGCGGGGTGAGCGGGACGGCTGCGTGGGTACCTGCTGTGACGAGCGGGCGCTGGAAGTTCCCTGCGGGCGGATGCACGCTCCAGAGGTTTTTATACGGGCGTGCACCTGGAAGGAATACCTCTGCGCCGACCAGTCGGATTGCAGGCTATTTAGAGTAACATTACCAGGCAGCGCTCGAAGAACTCGCTGTGTGACACTAAACTCCTGGACAAAAGGAAAACGCTCTTGGGCTTTCAAGTCCCCAGCGTACCAACCTTCAGAAGTAAAACCTCGGCTTCTTCCAGCCTCTTGTTCCGTTTTTGCAGGTTAAGCGTTCCCTGCCTTCACCTCACGGTCTGCCGTGCTGACCCAGACGAGCAACTTAACCGTGGGCAAACTCGCGCATAAATACTGTGTGTGGCCACTTGGCAGCAGCCCAAACGCAGAGAAAAGTTCACGAAGCTCTTGCTGCCAGGAAAAGGTCAAGTCTTCCTCGCTCCGCTCAGCGCCTGGCTGGGGAGGCTCGGGGTGCCCTCCCCTGCCCTGGGCCGCGCAGAGCTGGAGTCCTGAGGAAATAGCTGCTTTCCCGTCGTCTTTAGGGCAGGTGGAAACCGCAGGAAATGCTACGCCTACCGAAAGGGAGGGAGCGCACGTGAAAGTCACGCTTTCACCAGGACATCTTGTCTTGCAGCTGCTTGTTTTAAAACAGATGGATTTTATAGATGTTGGAGATAAACCAAATACGTCGTCTTGACACATTTCAAGAATTTGCGAGCTTTATATGCGTTTACCACTTTGCTGCCCTTCCGCCCTCCCTTCGCCTTCTTGGAAAAGATTCTATAGAAAGAAATTCAACTCGAGGATAGAAAAACGTAAAAGGAACTTTGAAAGTCTTAAAGCCAGAGAACAACCCCGGCTCATTAATGAACAGCTGAAGGTTGGCAATAGAAATAAGGTGGGGAACGTAGATTTTTTGACTCGGTTTATAGGCATTTGCATCTTTGGGTGAACAGCTTTTGAATTCAGGTAATGGAAGAGTGGCAAAGGCGAAATGAGCCTCTGTCGCTGCGGCTCTGTATTTCACACGTCAGCTGCTGCCTGGCTCTAGCAGTCGCACCGAGTACAGGAAACACTTGGCTGCTCATTCAGGTGCTCGCCCGTTTCTTTCCTCTGAAATGTCATAGTTAAAAACTTTTTTTTTTTTTTTTTTTTTAATACTCGGGACCTCGTCTTAACGATATTAAGTGTATTAAGTTGATATCGTAGACGTTGCATTTCACGGGCCCGCCTGGCTTACGAGCCGTGCAAATGAGCGGCCCCGAGCTAGGTCAGCAGCTGTTATTAGAAAGGAGAAGGCAGATCCGC